GCGTGGGCTGCAGAAGTGGAGACGAGAACTTTAACCACTCGGCCATGGGGCCAGCCCCCATAGGTTCTTTTAATTTATTTTATTTTTTAAATTAAAGTACAGTAAAATTGACTTTTTTGGTGAATAAATTCTGTGAGTTTTAGCACGTGTATAGGAGTAACCCAAAAAACTCTCTTGTGCTCCCCATTTGTGGTCATACCCGTCTCCCGCTCCTAACCTCTGGGAACCACTCATCTCTTTTCCATGACTATGGTTTCGTCTTTTTGAGAATGTCGTGTAAGTGGAACCATGCAGTCTTTGGAGACTGGCTTTTTTCGGCATAATGCCTTTGGAATTCATCCATATTGTGTGTGTCCGTAGTTCACTCCTTATTTCTGAGTAGTATTCCATTATATGGATGTACATCATTCATTCACCCCTGTACATTTGGGTTGTTTTCAGTTTCTGGTGGTTTTGAATAGAGCTGCTATTGCATACAGCTTTTAAACATACGGCTGTACACATCTGTATACATATGTGAACATCTGTACTCACATGAAGTGAGTGTAAGTTTTCATTCCTCTAGGATAAATACCTAGGAGTGGGATTACTGGGTCATATGATAAGTGAATGTTTAACTTAACAACGAATTGTTAAACTTTTCCAGAGTGGCCGTACCATTTTGCATTCCCACCAACAACGTGTAAGAGTTCCATTTGTTCTTCATCCTCACCAACACTGGGTATTTAGTGTTTTTTATTTTATGCATCCTAATAGATGTAGTGGTGTCTCATTTTGGTTTGGATTTGCATTTCCCTAATGGCTAATGATGCTGCATATTTGATACCCATGTATTTTGTTTGGTGAAGTGCCCGTGCAAGTCTTTTGCCCATTTTTAAATTGAGTTGTTTGTTTTCTTACTGTTGAGTTTTGAGACTTCTTTCTGTATCCTGGATGCAAGTCCTGTGTTGCATGTGATATTTGCAGATATTTTCAACCAGTCTTCAGTTTGTCTTTTCATTTTCCTAACAGTATCTTTTGCAAAGCAAAAGTTTCGAATTTTGCTGAAGTCCAATTTATCAATTTTTTTTCTGAACTGTACTTTTGGTGTCATGTCTAAGAACTCCTCACCTAACCCCAAGTTACAAAGATTTTCTCCTGTGTTTTCTTCTAAACATTTTAGTTTTACTTTTTACATTTAGATCTATGATCCATTTTGAGTTAATTTTTGTGTAAGATGTGAGGTTTAGGTTGAGGTTAATTTTTTTGCATATGGATGTCTAATTGTTCCACCTCTATTGAAAAAGCTGCCTTCTCTGCATTGAATTGTCTTGTACATTTGCCAAAAATCAGCTAGCCATATTTGTGTGGGTCTGTTTCTGGACTCTGTTATGTTCCATTGATCTGTTTGTTTTTATGCTAGTAGCACACTATTTTGTTTACTGTAGCTTCATAGGAAATCTTGAAATTGAGTAGTGTGATTCCTCCAGTTTTATTCTTTTTCGACATTGTTGTGGCTATTTTAAAGATTTTATTTTTATTTTTTCCTTTTTCTCCCCAAAGCCCCCCGGTACATAGTTGTGTATTCTTCGTTGTGGGTTCTTCTAGTTGTAGCATGTGGGACGCTGCCTCAGCGTGGTCTGATGAGCAGTGCCATGTCCGCGCCCAGGATTCGAACTAACGAAACACTGGGCCGCCTGCAGCGGAGCGCGCGAACTTAACCACTCGGCCACGGGGCCAGCCCCTGTTGTGGCTATTTTAGCTCTTTTGTCTTTGCATATGAATTTTAGAATCATCGTGTCTGTGTCTACAGAAAGTCCTGTGGGGGTTTCAGTGTGGAGTTGTGGATGACGGTTCTTCTGGCACTTTAGAAATGTTGAGCCCCTTCCTCTTGGCCTTCATGGTTCTAATGAGAAAGCCACGGACATTCAAATCATTTTTCTGTGTGGGTAATGTGTCTGGCAGCTTTCAAATTTCTTTCTTCGTTTTTAGTTTTCAGCATTTTGATTATGCTAGATCTGGATGTGTAATGCTTTGGATTTATCCTGTTAGGAGTTTTCTGAGCTTCTCTAATATATAGATTTTAAATCTTTCGCTGAACTTGGGAAGTTTTTAGCACTATTACTTCTCCGAAGTCATTTTTTTCTGCACTGAACTCTTTTCTTTCTTCTTTAGGGACTCTGATGACATAAATGTTAGACCTTTTGTTCTTGTCCTACAGATTCCTGAGGCTTTGTTCATTTTTTTCCAATTTTTTTTCTTTCTCTTGTTCAGATTAGATAATTTTTATTGATCTGTATTCAAGTTTATTGACTTTCTTCTGTTATCTCCTTTCTGCTATTGGACCAATCCAGTTAGTTGTTTATTTTACTTATATATTTTTAATTGATTTTTTTCCAGCTTTATTGTGTATGACTGACACATGAAAATTATATATTTAAGGCATACAATGTGATGTTTTGATATGTGTATGCATTGTGAAATGATTACCACAGTCAAGCTAATTAACACATCCATCACCTCACTTGGTTACCCTGTGTGTGGGGTGTGTGTGTGTGTTCGTGTGCTGAGAACACTTGGGAACTACTTTCTTAGCAAATTTCCAGTGTACAGTACATTATTGTTAACTATAGTCTCCATGCTGTACACTAGGTCTCCAGAACTCACCTTATAACTGAAAATTTGTACCCTTTGACCAGCATCTCTCCATTTCCCCCACTCCCCTAATGATTGTTTTATTTATTTATTTATTTATTTTTAAAGATTTTATTTTTTTCCTTTTTCTCCCCAAAGCCCCCCAGTACGTAGTTGTATATTCTTTGTTGTGGTTCTTCTAGTTGTGGCATGTGGGACGCTGCCTCAGCGTGCTTTGATGAGCAGTGCCTTGTCCCCGCCAAGAATCCGAACCAACGAAACACTGGGCCACCTGCAGCGGAGCGTGCGAACTTAACCACTCAGCCACAGGGCCAGCCCCAATGATTGTATTTTTTAATTCTAAAGTTTTCTTTTCCTTATGTCTTTTATTTCTTTGCTGAGATTTTTCCGTATGTTTCAGTGTTGTAATAGCTGCTTTAATGTCTTATTAGATAACTCTGTCATCTTAGAATTGGTATTTATTGAGAATCTTTTCCCATGTGAGTTGAGATTTTTCCGGTTCCTCATATACCTTTGTAATTTTGGTTTATATCCCGGATATTTTGAATATCATGTTATAAAACTCTGTGTCTTGTGTAAATCTTCTGACAAATGTTGATATATTTCTTTTAGCAGGCTGTTAATGTAATTGAGTTCAGGCTACAAATTCTGACCAGCCTTCTGCAGACTTGGGTTTCGATGTGAGGTCTGTTTTCAAAATCTCGGCAGTACCAGTTGGATCTGCTCTGAGGATGTGCCACCCAGTGGTTAGTTTGGGACCCTGGCAGTGGTTTATCCCTTGGTTCTGTCTTTAACCTCTTTTCTGTTCTGTTTAGGATTGCATCCACACACATGCAGCTTCGAGGTGAGCCTGGGAGTTCATGTACAACTTTCTGGGCTAGCTTTCCCAAGCTCCTCCCTCTCTGAGGTCTTGGTACTTTTCCATCCCCTTTGGGTCCTCATGCCAGAAAACTGGAGCTTTCATGACCCTCTTCTGCCAGGCGCTTCCTATGCCCACATCCGGGACTAGGCAGCAGGAGCACAGAGAGAAAAAAAGTGGTGGGGGTTCATTTTACCCTCTTGGGCCCACAGCTCCTCTGATTGGAGGGGAAGTTTCACCTCCTTCAGTATTTTAGGTGCTTGTGGTTACTACTGCAGCCACCACTCTGGGAGAGCCTGGGTACAAAGGGAGATAAGGAGTGAAAAAAAGGAAAAATAGGGAATTTCTCTCATTGCCTTGGAGAGTTAGCCGAGATCTTCTCCTAGAGTTTCCTCTGTACTCTGATACCTGCTTCTGGTTTTTAGGCTACCTTGGGGTGCAGGCCTGGGGATACCAGAAGAAAAATGGGAAACTCACCACCAGTTTAGTGGTACTAGAATTCTTGTCTTGGGGCTGGCCCCGTGGCCGAGTGGTTAAGTTCGCGCGCTCCGCAGCAGGCGGCCCAGTGTTTCGTTAGTTCGAATCCTGGGCGCGGACATGGCACTGCTCATCAGACCACGCTGAGGCAGCGTCCCACATGCCACAACTAGAAGAACCCACAACGAAGAATACACAACTATGTACCGGGGGGCTTTGGGGAGAAAAAGGAAAAAATAAAATCTTTAAAAAAAAAAAAAAAAAAAAAAGAATTCTTGTCTTTTTCCCCGGTCTGCTTGCCACCATATACTTTCTAGCGCCCACAAATAACTGCTGCCTGCATTCTGTCCAGGTGTTGTATCTGCATTCAGTGGGCGAAACAGGATGGAGTATGCTTGTTCCATGGTAATCTCAACGGGAACTTGGTACTTTATTTAATTTTCACTTTTTTTAAAGTCTTACTTTTTCTTATTACAAAAATAACACATCTTCATTGTAGACAACTTAGAAAATAAACGCAAAGATAAAATAAAAAGCTAAAATTTTCTATAAACTCATGAACTAAAGATAACTGCTGTTGTTTTGGTATACAATCCTTTTTTATTTCATATATGTATTTTTTTCCATTTTAACAGTAAGAATGAATTTGACAATAAATAAAGTCATGTTGTTAATTATTTTAACCAGTAATCTTTTTTTTTTTTTTTGGCTGGGAAAGATTAGCCCTGAGCCAACATCTGTTGCCAATCTTCCCCTCTCTTTTTTTCTCCCCAAAGCCCCAGTACATAGTTGTATGTTTTAGTTGTAAGTCCTTCTAGTTCTTCTATGTGAGCTGCCACCGCAGCATGGCTGCTGACAGATGGGTGGTGTGGTTCTCAACTGGGAACCAAACCCAGGTTGCTGAAGTGGAGCATGCTGGACTTTAACCGCCAGGCTGTCAGGGCTGGTTCTTAACCAGTATTCTTCAGGCTCAGATGCTATTGACTTGATCTAATGTTGTTTTCACAAAATCTTTTCTTTTCCTAAATAGGTAGAAAATCTTTATCCTCACACTGGCTGGGTTGAAATTGATCCTGATGTTCTCTGGGTTCAATTTGTTGCTGTAATAAAAGAATCTGTCAAAGGTAATTGGAATTATTAAAAAAAATAGCAAAGTATATTTTGTTTGTAGTAAGACTTTTCCTTAGGCGTCTGTAGAATTTTTATACTGTTATACTAAATTATAGTTATTTAGTAAGTATAAATTATAATTATACTTTTTATTGTATATAGTATAATTATAGGATTATACTAAATTATAATTATACATACGGTATTTTATGGGGGTCACAGTTTCCCAGTGTTTTTCAGGGGACATTTGTGGTTTACATTGAGCCACCTTGTCAAGGAAAGGTAGCAGCAGCTCTGTCCTCTGCTTTAGGTCTTTTGCACCCAGTATAAAGGTTCCCTCTCCTTCATTCCAGATTGTAGCTAGTGCGATTTGATTGCCTGCTGTGTACAAAATACCAGAGGATTATAAGTGAAGTTACAGCACACGGTTCCTGCTCTCAGGAGTTTATAACTGAGTTACCTTTATTATAAAGTAAATTTCTGTTTTGTTTTGTCTTTTTCTGCATGACCTCTTGATGCAAAGTGCCCTCCTGGCTGCAGCCATGGTCTGAAATCTTAACTCTTAAAGAACATTTTCAGTGCAACTGTCTTTAAGAGCAGGGCGAAAGATGACTTGTAAATGTAAAATCTAAAAGGTCTTTTATTTCATTTTTCTGGCTGAATTGCTTCTCCTTCTCACCGTTTTGTTTGAAATATTTCAAAACCTATAAAAAAAAAAAGTTGCAAGAATAATACGTTGAAAACCCTTATAACTCCTACGAGTTTCAAACGTTTTGCAATGTTTATTTTACCATCCTCTGCAGACTTTTTTTTGGCCTACACGTTTGAGGGTTGGTTGTAGCATAATAACATTACTCCAGTACTTCAGCATTATCTCAAAGAAAAGGAGTATTCTCCTATAATAAGCACAATGCAGTTATCACACAAGAAATTTAACATTAATACAGTAGTATTTTCTAGTACTTAGACTTCAATGTTCCCCTCTTATCTCAGTTATTAATAACTTTTGTTTCAATCCACAATCCAGCCCAAGATGAGGCGTTGCATTTAGCAGTGAGTCTGTTTAGTTTCCTTTGATCTAGAGCATATTCTTTGTGACATCGACAGTTTTCAAAAGTACAGACCAGTTTAGGAGACTGTCCCTCAATTGGGGTTGTCTGATTATTTACCCATGATTAGATTCAGGTTAAATATTTTTGGAAGGAGTACTGCACACGGGCCGATGTGTCTTCCTCAGTGCTCAAGTTGAAGTTGTCATTAATTTGCCCTGTGGGATAAATTGCTTTTTAAAAGAATATCACAAAAAACACTTGGATTGCTATATTTCAAGAAATCTGCATCAAAAAAATCCATGTTTCTATTTGCATGCTAGCATGTTTGTGTGGAAAATAAGATCTGAGATTCAATAATTGTGCTACTTTCCCTGGCAATTTTCCTTGACTGCCATCAACCAGCTTCTGTTATGGTTGACCATTACTTAAATTAAGATCCAGTCTTTTAGTATTATCGGGAAGAAAATACTATATGGCTTACTTTGAGTAGTGTTTGTTTCTTTCTAACATTTAAAGCAGTAAGGCCATTTTGTTACTGTTAGACTATGACCTTTTTTCCCTTTAAGTAAAAAACTACTACAAAATCATCTTAGTAATGCTTTATTTATTAGCCCCAATTGTGTTATTAAAATGCTAAACCCAGATATTTTTCTTCAAGATTATATTAAACGATTTCTTTTCCATAGTGTAATATTATAAAGAAAAACTTCACTGGCTTTTAAACCTGTGTTTTTATCTATCTTTATTTTTAGCTGCAGGAATAGAGATGAATCAAATTGTTGGTCTTGGCATTTCAACACAGAGAGCAACTTTTATTACGTGGGACAAGTAAGTGCATTGTGTGATAAGCACTCTGTTGTTGGGTTCATACCACAGTGAATACACTGCTGTGAAATCTGTTTGGGGAGTTTTAAATGTGTGAATTAAGAACAGTTTTGCTTGGGTAAGAGGGATGAAAGTGGGCCTCCTTTCTGGGTTGTTAAAGTATGCTGCCTGCCTGTCATTTGGGCTTGGCTTACATAAAACAGTAACAATAAAACGTCTGTTGCTGTCATTAATATTCTTCATTCCTTTCTTTTGGTGAGTTAGCTTTTCAAATAAGCATGGACTGAAGATCTAAAAAATTAACTTAAACCTAAAAAGAATCAGGGAACCTAACATTTCAGAAACACAATATTTTGGTTATAGTTTATATTTTCAGTCTACTCCAAATGTAATATTTAAATACATACAGCATATGAATTGTGTATACACTAAACAGTTATAATGTCATAATAGCTCCCATATAGTGAATACCTTTGATACTTCAGTTACCATTATCCGTACAAACAAACCTGTTCTTTGGGTATTATGTCTCTTTTTACAGAGAAAGAACCTGAGGCTCAGAGAAATAAGTAAGTTGCTTAGGGTCACTCAGTTAATAAATGGAGCGAAGATTCCGAGTTATCTTTTTATTCCTAAAGCTCATGCTCTTTCCCCCATATTGCCTTCAACATGTGTTTCTTGCTTTAAAAACAGCAACAAAAACACTGTAAAATATGTCTGTTAGAAAGCACCAGACTCCAAAGGGCATCTTGAGCTTGGGGCAGTGGGGAAGAAAAGTCGGGGCACAGAGTGTGGGGTTAAGTCTAACAAATGTAATTCTGGTGAATTCACAAGGACTTGGTCTTTAATTCAGTATTAGGGAAGAGGAAGAAGTTTAAATTTACTGGTATTTCTGGCCTTGATGTTTGGGAGAATATGATAGAAATTCCTGAGAATGTAGGAGGAGGAGCGAGTTAGGTGGTGATGGGGTGGGTCAAAGAGAACCTGATAGGGTGTTTGGTTTTGCACCTGTGAGTGTGGAGATAGCCCACAGGTGGTTGGAACATTGGTGGTCTGGTTAGACTGAGGCTGTTTCCTCCAGATAGGTACTCTTTCTTTCAGGGCATCATGCATCTTAGGTCGATGCCGGCATCTGTAGTCCTCCTGCGGCCCCCCCAAGCCCCCACCCAGTGCCTTGGGCACACCAAGTCTTTTTTTTTTTTTCCTTTTTCTCCCCAAAGCCCCCCCAGTACATAGTTGTGTATTCTTAGTTATGGATTCTTCTAGTTGTCGCATGTGGGACGCCGCCTCACCGTGGTTTGATGAGCAGTGCCATGTCCATGCCCAGGGTTCAAACTGATGAAACACTGGGTCGCCTGCAGCCGAGCGTGTGAACTTAACCACTCGGCCACAGGGCCAGCCCCACAACAAGTCTTAAGTAGGTAATACATTTGTCAGTTGAAGGAATAAATGAATTAAAGAAATCTTTGTAGATCAATGTTTCTTTTTTTTTTTTAAAGAATGTTTACTTTCGGGGCTGGCCCTGTGCCTGAGTGGTTAAGTTCTCACGCTGTGCTTCAGCAGCCCAGGGTTTCACTGGTTCGAATCCTGAGTGCAGACATGGCACTGCTTGTCAAGCCATGCTGGGGCAGCGTCCCACATGCTGTAACTAGAGGAACTGACAACTAAAGGTGCACAGCTGTGTACTGGGGTCTTTGCGGAGAAAAAGGAAAAATAAAATCTTAAAAAAAGAAGAATGTTTACTTTTTTTTTTATATGTGGATGCCTGCCACAGCATGGCTTGGCAAGTGGTGCATAGGTCCACACCTGGGATCCGAACCGGCGAACTCCGGGTTGCTGAAGCGGAGCACGCGAACTTAACTGCTGCGCCACCAGGCCGGCCCCTAGATCAGTGTTTCTAAACAGTGGCACTGTTGACATTTTGGGCCAGATCACTTTTTGTTGTTGGGGGCTGTCCTAGGCATTGTAGGATGTTTAGCAGCTCGCTGGCCCCTACACACTGCATACTAGCAGCACTCCACCCCCTGAGTTGTAACAACTGAAAGTGTCTCCAGCTTTGCCAGATGTCCCCTGGAGAGCAGAAGTGCCCCCAGCTGAGAACATTGACGTAGACACGGTCTTGGAAAGTAGATGTGTTCTCTGGTAGAGATTATATAGAGAGACGAGAAGAAGGTTTAGGATTTGGACAATGAGGTTTTTCCCCCCAAATTTAAAGGGAGTCAGAGAGCAAAAAGCTGGCAAAATGGGACCAAGATGAATGTGGGGAGTGGATGGTGTGGAAGTGGAGGCAGGAGAGTGTTCCTAGGGGGACAGCTGATGGGAAGTGTCATGTTTGGCTGGATTTGGAGATTATGTCATTGGCCACAGAGATTGCTTCCCTCAGAACCCAGATACCAGGTCATTCATGACAGGAAGGTCAAAGTCTTAGAAAGCAAAGGGTTTTTTTAAATAAACTTTTTATTTCAGAATAGTTTTGGATTTACAGAAAAGTTGCAAAGATAATACAGACAGTTGTCATATACCCCACAGCCAGGTTCCCCTCTTGGCAGCTTACATTACCGTGGTACCTTTGTCACAACTGAGAAACCAACACTAGTACGTCATTATTAACTAAACTCGATTCTTTATTTGTATTCCATTTGTTTTCCCCTAATCTCTCTTTTCTATTCCAGGATGCTGTCTAGGATACCACATTGCATTTAGTCATCGTGTCTCCTTAAGTGTCCTTCAGACTTACACAAGTATTTTTAAATTAATGACATATATAATAGATGCCTTGAGATTTTATTACATATGCAATAATGCAATAGTTAAGACAGAATTAACCCACAATCAGGGACTCTGAATTCTGATCCCTTTTTCCTTTGTGGGAGGAATCCTCTTGATTTCCCAATTTAGAATGTGTTACATGGTGGTGACTTGAGGAAATATCTTTTCTTGTGCTAAGATAACTTTAGAGAGAACTCGTATATTACCCCCTTGACCCACTGTAATTTGCTTTCCTCCAAGAATTTGCTGCTGTTATATCCACGGGCACAACAGGAAAATATGTCATGGCTGTGGATATTCCAGTGTCTTGTGTGGAGGGCTCTTTTTGAAAATAATTAGATATTTTTCAATAAAAAACAAACAAACTAATGCTGATGAGGTTCACAGAGCAGGTGGAATGCAATAGCTTATTTATTTTTAACTTATATTAACCCATAAATAATGTACAATTTTGTATACATACAGATAACCATAATTATAAGAGAGAGAGAGCATGAAAGGCTATCAGGAAATAGAATCTGAGGAAGAAAGCAATAATTGTTTTGTCCAATCTCAGAGCTTTTTTCAAAGATGACAGTGGAAAGTCCCATTGACATGAAGCCCGTTGCTCTGGTTTCCTGTTTTATGAAGGGAAGTCAAGTCTAGCCTGCTTAACTGCAGAAGTATTTCAAGTTAACTAAGGTTTTCCATTTCTTCTGTCACCTTCCCGGCTCAGGCCGTGATGGCTGCATGCCTGGAACTGTTGCAGTAACCTCATTGAATTCAAGCATGTGTGTATATATTCTCCTACCTGCCTCTATTAGCAAACCCCTTTGGTCCAGCCTACACATCACTGCTAGATGAAATTCCCCAAACAGCATTTTTATGTGAAGCGAAGTTTTTATGTGGCATTCCTCACTTTTAGGAGAAAAGAGAAGAGTCTGATTCCAAGATAGTCCCTTCCTTTACTGGTGTTGCTGTTATTGTAGAGGGATAAGATTGCTTCCTAAAACAATGAATTATGAGTTTTCTTCCTGGTTGTCTTTTTAAAAAATGTTTGTGTTCTTTCATGAGTTTTGGAAACACTCTTTGCTTGCAGAAACTGAAATGCTGGTTTGTTTTTTTTTTTTTTCCAAAACACACGATACTTTCTACTTTTTTTTTTACCTTAAAATAATGGAGCCTTATTCTGCTCCGTAGGCCCTGGTGAGCCCAGAGCATATAATGCTGGCAGTTTCTACAAGCTCCCCAGCAAACAGCTGAGAACAGCACAGGAGTGGGCACCTCTCTGAGCCAGCAGGAGGTACTTCTTGCTCATTTTGAGAGAAAGAGAGACACACTGGACCCTGTGGAACAATCTCTTGTTCACTCCAGCCCCAGCCAGTGCCTCCTCTTCCCAGCTCATCGCTTTCTCGCCTGTGTCGGTAGTGCATTTCTGTTGTCATGGCCATAAAACATTATTTTCCTTAGAATTGCTGTCAGGAAGTCTAAAACTTTGAACTTTCCTTTTGTTTTTTCTCTTTGTTCCTCTTCACATTCAAATGTCAGGGAACTTGATTTTTATTAGCTTTTTTCAGTCTTTGAGTTTTCTTCATATTCTTCAAGTTAACATTTTTTTCAGTACTATATTTAATCAGTGGTTGTGTTTAGCCTATTTTCTGAAGTAACTCTAAATGATATCGTCTCCATTTTGGTTGTTTTAAATTATTCTTGTTCTGAAAAATCACGAGCTGTTTCGTTTCTTCAGTGATTGTTTCCGTCAGGGACATTTCTGCCAACTAACCTCAGATCAGGGTGTGTGCCAATTAGTAACATAAACCATGAGTCACTTGAACTGGGATGCACTCAGTGACCGTTTGGGGCTTGTGGGGAGTAAGGCACCGTGCTGGTTGCTGAACTGAATGTAAAGATGAATAAAAATACCGCCGTCAAGGAATTTAGTCTCATAATACTAGCACATAAATTACTCTTGAGTCCCCACACCAAATTTATCTTTTATTGTAATACTTGATACTTATGTTAATAGTTCTTTTTTTTTTTTATTTTTTTTATTTTTTCCTTTTTCTCCCCAAAGCCCCCCGGTACATAGTTGTGTATTCTTCGTTGTGGGTTCCTCTAGTTGTGGCATGTGGGACGCTGCCTCAGCGTGGTCTGACGAGCAGTGCCATGTCCGCGCCCAGGATTCGAACCGACGAAACACTGGGCCGCCTGCTGCGGAGCGCGCGAACTTAACCACTCGGCCACGGGGCCAGCCC